GAGCTCGTTTGCTCCCTTATGTAAACCTAAATATGTACTAGTTAAGCATAGAATCAAATGGAACCTGAAATTTAGTCTTTGATCAAATATTGTTTGGATAAATAGTCCATGTGCTAAATGTAGTAATTCTCTTTATATGTTGAAATAGATCAAATAAGGCCTTCTACTATTATGAAATAGTCACATAAGGCCATGTACTCAATAAAGTGTCATATAAGTACCTCTACTTGTAAAAAGCAATCAAATGAGTCATAATGACCTATTTAACACCTCTTAATCCCGGTTTCAACGTACTTATGACCATCTTTTTAGAATACATTATACGGCATATGTCGAATATTTAACTAAGATTGGTTGAAATACAAGTCAAAGAAATCGACATGTAAGCTAAAATCGGGATTAGGGTGTGTTAAATAAAACATTAGGACTCATTTGATTGCTTTATACAAGTAGAGTTACTTATATGACACTTTATTGAGTACATGGCCTTATGTGACTATTTCATAATAGTAGAAGGCCTTGTTTGACCCTTTTCTCTTATATGTTTTGTAAAAATGGTATAAAATGGTCAGTTTTGTTGATATAATTTGGTTATTATAATTGTTTGTGGGCAGTTCTCACAGCATGAACCTGGGGTAACACATGTCTTAGTAACTGGAGGAGCTGGATATATAGGCTCTCATGCTGCTCTTCGTCTCTTGAGGGATTCATATCGTGTAACTATCGTGGTATGTTTGTAATTTGTAAAGAATGCAAACTCTATTGGTTTGTTGATGAAATATAATTTTTAGACATAAACTTTAATGTTGTCAACTATACAAATGGAAGGGATACTCGATAACAACAACTCATTGAAGTGTAAGGGTGAATATATTCAATCAATCATTTTTCTCCGCTTTATTAGAAACGTTAATCCTTGAACAAAAATTTTCTGGGAGTGCAATTTTGTTCACTCCTCTGCAGTGATCGAGAGCGAACAAAACTCACATCCCTTCACTTTTGTGCACCTACTAATAGAAGGGATACAATTTGAATTCCATGAGAAAAGAATTCAACCAAACCAAAACCAAATGATGAATTTTTTGCTTTTTGGAAATTGCGAGGGAAACCCCAATCTCACACAGAATTCTTACATTTGGAATGTAGGATCCAAGTCTCATATTTTTTGACTTGTTGGCTAGGATAATCTTTCACGGGGAAACAAGGGTGCGGTCAAAGTTCTCCAAGAACTATATCCAGAGCCTGGAAGACTTCAATTTGTTTATGCTGATCTTGGAGATGCATCATCTGTATCCTCAAAATGAAACTAAAGCTCCTACATACATAGCTTCCAAATCTAGATATGGATTTGTGTGATTTGCAACCTTAATTAATCATAACTGTTTCAGGTAGACAACATATTCTCCGAGAATGCATTTGATGCTGTAATGCATTTTGCAGCAGTTGCTTATGTTGGTGAAAGTACACAAGAGCCGTTACGGTTAGGTTCTAGTCACCTTTAAGCTAAGTTTGTTTGGCTTTGTCAGTCCATTTTCCCTGCATCATCATATTGAGCAAAGCACATTGGTAATGAATTTGCAGATACTATCATAACATTACCTCAAACACATTGTTGCTAGTCAAGGCAATGGCGGCTCATGAGGTCAAGACATTGATCTATTCAAGTACATGTGCAACGTATGGAGAGCCGGAGAAAATGCCCATCACTGAAGTCACTCCACAAGTGAGTAGATCTCAAGTACACTCCTTATGTTATGAGTATTAAGTAAAAGGTATAGGGAAGTGGACGTTACGAATTAAGTCCCTGTTTGGTAATCAGATGTTCACTATCAGTTGTTTGAATTACCGGTTTTGACGACCTTTTACCTACATCACAAGTATACGATGGATTGACCCGACCAAAGAACCGGGCCATTGGCCAACTCACACCCGACTGGTAAGTTTTGTCAATGCTAATGAACAAAAATAACTATGCACACATAGTTATATATCAGATTAATGAAAAAGTAACTAACTTTCATAATAATAAAATGATGCTGAAACTTAATAAACATTGAAACCACACGTAACACTCAAATATATTATTTGAGTCCCTTTTCACTAACAATGCTGTTATGTTACATGTGTCGTACTTCTTTAAAAAGATTTTGGTGTGATAGTGTTTTTTCAACGAGTGTATTAGATGCTTCTTTTTTATGCTTTGTGAAGTTGGAATTGCAACCAAAGATGCTAGAAAAAGAAGCAACATTCGTAACCGGATGCCCCGATTTTATCAATCTGGTCCCGAGCCGGATTTTGGCTTAATCCAGTATTTTAGTTGCCGGTTTCCAGGAAGGCCGACATATATGGACAACAAGGTATAATAGGAAACACTTTTCAAAAAGCTTAAACCAAAAAAATAACTTTTCCTTATGACATTTTGGGTAATTTATTGGACTTGATAAATTAGAATGCTTACTAAACAGTAAGCTCTTATATCAACTTTGAGATATGATCAAATAGATCATTCAGACTCAAAAAATGAAAACCTCTCCCATAGGATCCTCACCAGACAAGGCCGCCTTAACGCTTAGCTTTTCTTGTTTATGATAATAGGAAGTACCATCTTCACTATCATTTTATTGAGCTTGAACATAAATTCAGGCACCAATCAATCCATATGGCAAGGCAAAGAAAATGGCAGAAGATATCATATTGGATTTCTCAAAGACTAATGACATGGCTGTCATGATCTTAAGGTCTGGTGTTTTCCGATATGACGTTCCAAATGTATGTCAATGCCAATATAATGACACATTGTCTGGGTTATAAGTGCCTCTTAACATATTTTAATGGAACTATCAGGTACTTCAATGTCATTGGGTCAGACCCTGATGGAAGGTTGGGTGAAGCTCCTAGACCCGAACTCCGAGAACAAGGTCGAATCTCTGGTGCTTGTTTTGACGCAGCTCGCGGGATAATTCCAGGCTTGAAGGTATGTATGTAATGCATTTTCTTTCTATACTCTGCTAAGTCCTGCACTGGCAAATTCATTTAATTCCATATTTACGGCACGTTTGGCATGAAGGATGGAGTATAGAGGGAAAGAGTATTAATTTCTCAGGGAAAGATTGTAGTGGTAATACAGAAATAATCCCCAAGGAAGAGAGGGATTAGATCAACCTAACAAAGGAACAATTTGCTATTTGGAATTGAAATGGGAGGAGAATAATTTATCCAGCGAGTTTTTGCAGCTTTTAATCCACCGGCTATTGTGTCAATGACACTTTTGCTACTCGCCTTTGAATGCTTTCACTCTTGTCTGTTGAGTTGTGTTTATGACAAATTAAAAGCATAAACCTTGTCTGGACAAACTTAATAATGATTGCAGATAAGAGGGGTTGACTATAGTACCCCTGATGGAACATGTGTAAGAGACTACATTGATGTCACAGATCTAATCGATGCACATGTAAAGGCTCTGCAACATGCAACTAGGGGCAAAGTTGGCATCTACAATGTGGGCACTGGAAAAGGCAGCTCAGTGAAACAATTTGTGGAGGCGTGCAAGAAGGCCACAGGAGTGGATATAAAGGTAGAATACCTTAGCAGGCGCCCTGGGGATTATGCAGAAGTTTATAGTGATCCTTCCAAGGTCAAGCAGGAGCTAAATTGGTCTGCAAAATACACACTTGAAGAGAGTTTGGCTATTGCCTGGAAATGGCAGAAACTCCACAGAAATGGCTATTCTAACTAACTAGGTGGAGGGCTGGAGGCCCCCTAAATATTACTCCGTACTCTTTTCTTCCAGAGGACAGAAGTTCCTCTCATACCTTAAATCTTGTCTGCTGATTTTATGTCGGTGGCCTTTTTGTTAATGTAGTAGATACATATTTACTTGGCATTTATACATTAGGTAAATACCTGGAAATAGTGTGGAAATAAACAGCTGCTGTAAAATTGATAGAATGAATGAGCACACTGCACACTTCAATGTTTTTTTTTGGATGAAGACAACGATGTTATTTTAATGCAATTGTGCAAATTCTTACTCATACCTATACCCTTTTCAAAAACTTCAAGGCTGAGGAAAGATGAAATATCGGGAAGAACAAACTTTCATCTTACATACTACACAGCGACAACACCCATAGAGGGATACCTCTGGCTTGGAAAAAAGATGAACAAGCCCAAATCATGTTTTTTACTCATAGAGCCCATTTGGTAACACTGAAATCGGCTGAATCAGCTTATTTTGTTGAAATTTATGAAGTTCTCTAACTGAAGTGGCTGATTCCGATGAAAAATAACTAAAATAGTTATCTACAGTAGCTTCATTCAATGCAATCAGAAAAGTAGGGATGGACTCGGGCCGGGTGGCCCGACCCGGAACCGGCCCGGGACCGGTACTGTTCCGGCCCGGCCCGACCCGGTGGCCCGGTCAGTGACCGGTCCGGGTAGGCCCGGCCCGTGGGTTTTCCGGTCCGAGCTCGGGTCACCCAAAACAAGGCCCGACCCGGCCGAGCCCGGGCCCGGTTCGGGCCAAAAACTATTTTTTTTTTCAATTTTTTTTAAATTTTCGGGTTGGGCTGGGTATTTTGGGCCATTTGGGGTGGTTTGAGGGGTTGGGGGTGGGAGGGGGGTTAATTAGGAAGAGGAAAACAAAAAAAAATATAATGGGCTCGGAACCGGACCGGACCCGGTGGTTACCCGGGCCGGTCCCGGGTCCACCATTTCTGACCCGCCGGCCCGCCCGGGCCTAGGCCCGACCCGGACCTGGCCCGGACCCGAGTCCATCCCTACAGAAAAGTGAGTTCAACTTTACTTTTTCTTATTATTACACAATTCAACGCACGAAATCAAAAGTTGCATGTTTGGCCGATAAGTTTTGGAAGTCAAAAATAGTACATTCGTACTATTTTGATAAATAACATATTCTGAAAAATGAATAAAAGGTGATTGAGATTCTACCACATACTATGTGGATCTTACGATTTTATAAGATCTCAAAATAATACGGACTACGGAGTATCAAAGTTCTATAAATTAGGAGAACCCTCCAACCAAACAGACCCAAAATGTTCACATTCTGCCATCAAGAAACAGGTTTTTTATGAACTCCACAAGTAAAAAAACATCCGAGAAAATTGCTATGATTAGTTGTACTCAAAATTGTTTTTAATACCGAACGTTATCTTAGAGTTTATACAAGGGCTTCATACTACAAATACCGTCAAATGAAGGGTATAATCCTCTCAACACTCACTAATCCAAGACTGACAAACTAGAAGTGGCATCAACAAACAATGGGCTTCGGTGTTAACATTGTGCATCGTCTCTCCCATGGAAGTTGCTGCTATTCTTGCCTCTAGCTAAAAATCTCCCCAAATGCCTTTTGTTCAAACAAATCATAACTCATCGTGGCTTTCTGGCTGTTGGCTGTTAGTGTTGGGCTCAGTACTAGTTTTGTCATCACCATCTGTTCTCTCAGATTCTACAGTTTCCTCTTTCAGGGAGGATTCCTCAGGAGGTGAGTTTGCATTTTCTTTTTCTTTGTTGCTTTCAGTTTCACTTGTCACGGGCTTCTCAACTTTTGGCTTTGGTTTAGGAATTTTATTGACCTTGGCCACCTAGGCAAGGAGGGAAGACAAAAATGCAACCAAGAATCAAAAGAATCCATTAGCATTCATGAAATATATTTTGTTACTTAGAAGGGCAGCCCCAATGCACATTGGCGTTCCAGGAAGGGGAGGGTCCACTCCCAAGACTTGAAACCGATTTGATCACACGGCAACACCATAACAGGTGCACCAAAGCCCCCCCTTCAAATATATTTGGGAGAACTATCAAATAAGCCCTTTTATAGGAGGCTCTGTCCGGCCGTCGCCATTTGGGGCGGTTTCCGGTGGAAGTTTTTTGATGAATTTTTTGAGCATCTTCTTAATTAAGTCTAGTTTACCCATACCAAATTTCAGCTAAAATTTCAACCGAGAAGATAATCAAATGATTTTCTGAAATATACTGCGCTGTTTAACTGCACAGTTATCTTCAAAAATTCATTTGAGTGTCTTCCCGGTTGAATATTTAGCTGAAATTTGGTATGAGTAAACTAGACGTAATGAATAAGATGCTTAAAAATTTTTATCAAAAAATTCCACCGGGAACCACCCCAAATGACGACGGCAGGACAGAGCCTCCTATGAAAGGGCTTATTTGCACTATTTATGTAAGTTCGAGGGCTTATTTGATAGTTCTCCCAATATATTTTGTTACTTGCTTAAAATAATAACGAGTAACCCTCATCCGCAATACCTTGTCTTGAAGAGCAAATAGCTTATTGTATACTTCTTCGGACGTGAATGCTGGTGTGCCGTGTCTTGGAGTCCTGCTAGCATAAGTTTTGGCTTGTCACTAATAAAACATATGAGATGGTCTTGAAGCCCTATAAACAACACACATTCCTAAATGCACGTTAACATTCACTCGAAACCTACATCTTCACTCTCCTCCCTCAATTCATATGTGAAATGGAAATACAAGTTGCAAGAACTAAATAATTTAGCTAGTTGGTTTGTTTAATATATATATATATATACAAGCAAATTGATCATCCAAAAAATACACCCACAGAGGGTGAAAGATGTGCTCACTTATCCTGCTCAGCCTCCTTCTCGTTCAACCAATTCTTCAGCTGCTCAGCCTCCTCCACTACCTACAGAACGAAAAGAAAAAACTTTATCCCTTCTGGAGTTGGAAATGGAAATTTGTCATGCAATAATAAAGCAGGATAAATTAATACAGCGTAATACCTCATCTATTCTCGCTCTAGGAAGCCAAGATTTATCTGATTCCCATCGATGCACAATCTAAAATTATGGAGAGACATATTGAGTTAATTAATAGAATATAACTTCACCTTGTCCCATCTCATATACGAGGGAATTATACAGTATAAGAAAGTAAACAAACTAATAAGTATTTGCAAATTGCAACATCCAACCTGTTGCAATTCGGTGAGATATTGTCGGGCATGTCCAGATGCAGCAGGGCGTGCTGTAAGCTCATTATATCTACTCACAATAATGGGATGGCTACATTAGAATGATCTGTCCGTGTATAACGTGTGTATAACATACAAGTATTTCTGAAATTCAGGCAATGAAGCTGGGGCTACCTGTGGAATATTGGGTCACCAATAGCCTTCAACGTATCTAAATGTTTCTCAAACTCTGTGGCTAAGGCATCTTCGCCATCAGTGTACAACCATTCTTGCACCTGAAGTGCGAGTTGCAGATAATTTAGTACTCTTTAAGTAGACATACATAAATGCCTTTCCAAAGCTAAAGAACAAGAACTGAAATATGATTAAGCAAAACAAAAGTATATAATTGACCAATAAAGAGAAAGAGAGGACTAAGCAAACCTCATCAAGTCTCTCAATATATAATTTCCGCTCTTGTTCGGTTGCAATTTTTTCAAACTCCTCGGACTCAATCTGGTTGAAGTACATGCACAAATAGAAAAAGGATAATAAGAACATCTTCCCGCCTCAACTTGGTGTTCAGGAACATAGAAACAAAAACGAAAAATGCATTCAATATGTTTACACCACCAAGATAATTCACTTCATGAATTTCCAGAAGACAAATGAATATTTATTCATCCACAAACACACAAAAAGCAAATGATAATGCTGATCAGATATTCATGGAGAACAAGACTCCATCATAGACCCTTCAAATATCTCAGTGGACAGTCAAACATTTAATTAAGTCAAGAAGAGTACCAAAACCTGGCATGTTAAAAATTAAAATCATCCTAATGTATGGAGAAGTACACAAGGATATAGAGGAGAATAATCAAAGTTCCTTAGAAACAAGAAACAAAAGCAATGGCGAGCAACTATATGAGATGATTCTCAGTTAAAATCACTGGGTGTAAGTGTAACAGATGTGACCATAAACGATAGTCATTTCTTAAATTTCTTTCAAAATCTGCTTTTTCCTCTTGAAGACACTACTAAAATAAAGATACCATAATTTTGCTTGAAAAGACGCGAAAATTAAGATTCCCACAAAAATTAAACAAAATATCAAAATATAATTAAAAAAGTTGAATGAAACATCAATTTCAGTGGGGTGAACTTTCCTAACCTTTTCTCTCGTATTATATATGTAACCTTCCAGGTTGTTCTTTAACTCAGCAGTCCTTCTCCTCTCTGCATCTTTTCTGTCAAGTTCTTCCAATTTAAATTTTGCTTCCCCTAGAGACTTCTCTGAAAGGGACATTCCTGGACCCACTATCTTCTCGGTGATCTACACAGACAATGAGTCAATCCTTAACAAAGGGACAAATCAAGAAATTGCAACTCACAAAAAATTAGTGCAAGAGGATCTTATTGAATGAAAGGGGATTCATAAGGCCACTGAAATGAGATGAATAAATAAATAACCTTAAGAGGAACACGGAAAGTCCGTTTTTTGAGTTTCTTCTCTGCAACCAGATCTGTTGGAGAAGAAGCATTACTTGCAGTGGTATTGAATGAATCACTTGACACACCCTCCTCATTAAGTTTTCCATCACTGCCCTCTGAAGTGTTACTGGCAGAACTAGAGGTTGAATCATCCACTGTCAGATTCTTTCTTGGCACTTCCACCCATTCAGATATTTCAATAACAGAATCAGCCCGATCCATAGAGAATATTCCGCTTCTACTCAGAGAGAAATGTAGATTGGTCTTGATGGGAGCAGAAATATTTCTTGCTGCATATCTAGGAAAAAGTATACAAAGAAAAAGGTTAATAAATAATATGATGCCCAATGATTAAGGGATTCATGCTACTCCCATCTACTCTTTTGTGTACTTACTTCTCTTTGGCATCTGCTAGTCCTCCTACTGCATATTGAGCAAATATGAGTGATGTGGTGCCAAGTGGCAGCAGATCTTTGCTCTCATAAGCAAGTGAAACTTCAAAATCCTTGTCATGAATTATGGATCTGAATAACTGATGTTCCCAAGAAGTAATCATATCAGCACTATGCCAAAAAGATGGGCGGTTGTGAAAATATATTATGTATAACTAATTAATGACAATTAAATTACTTTACTGGGTAACTTTTTCATTCTAGGTATTAAGAACTGGTTGGTGCTCTCATCTTTGGGCAGATCCAGACCATCTATATTAATCGTAAATCCATATGTTGAGCCATCGATCATTCCCAGCTTGCGATTTAATTTTATACCATCACTTAGATTTGCAGCATGCAGTGAGGCGCCAAGAACAACAGCTTCATCTGCATCCAAATGTTTGTCCAGTTCTTTCCTCCCAAGAAACTCTTGAAGCTTGGCCTGGCAAGAATCAAGGAACATTATTCCAAACAAACAATCAATGTCCGGACAAATGGTATTAGTGACAAGGATCCCGAAAGACAAATAAAAAAATAGGTTAATCTAATCCTTTAAAAGGTGAGATACCCGTCAAGAACTTCATATGATTATTATTTTACTTAATTATTTTTAGTCTGACAAGACAACTGACCAGTGTGGCTGGTTTACTTGGGAAGCAAAGTTTTATACAGGGTGACGAGTAGGCACATGGTTCCCCCTTCTCCAACAAGAGGCTGAAACTCCATCCTACTAACAATTTACACCACCTCCAAATACTATTATACTAACAACTTTATAACGACTGGCTGATTATAGAAAAATATACTGCCTCCATCCAAAAAAATAATGTTGTATTTCACCAAGGTACAAACTTTTGATTTTAATAAAGCACATTGGCACAAGTAGGGAAACCATCATTTCTAGCTATACTTCAAAATTCATGATCTGGATTAACTAAATTATACTACGTAATATTTAACTTTTTTGGAACAATAATCTTGAAAACCTACATTCAATTTTGTTTCTTTGTTCAAATAGGACTTTTTGAGGGGACTGATGGAGTAAGTGAAAACAGATACTAATGATTGGGTAAAGAAATGATTTTTACAAGACAAAAACAGACTTTACTACACCTGCAATTTTGGCACTCGGGTGCCCCCTCCAATGAGCTCTACTGCATAAATTTCCTCGATCTTTAAGCCAGAGTTCTTCAGAACCTCTTTCAAAGGAACAATAGCTTTTTCCCATAAATCTTCACATAGCTCTTCAAACTTCTCACGGGTTATTGTGCTCCTGATGAAAAAATAATATAAATAGACAGCCAAATATATGCACTACCCAATGGAGATGATGAGAGCAAAACAACAAAGACACAATGTGCTCTGGATGGAAAACAAAAAACTAAGTGGGTAATGACAAGACGCGCACAGATTCATTTTCAAAAGAAAAAAACAGCAAAGATATGAAGTGCTCTCCTATAGAAATGTGCATCAAATGGAGATAGTGGAACAAAAACAGCACCACACAATAAACAGAGGAAAGTGAGGAACATAGAAAGCTCGTATCACAGTACTATCACTCATTGCACTCTTTGAGGGACTCCCTTGTCCTTCCTATAAATTGTTCATCAATCTTAAATAGCACACATCTCCAACTAGTCTATGTACTAGACTACTAGATTTCATTGTAAGTTATAACTTCTCTTAGGGTATGTTTGGGAGTTGGGTTTTGGAGGGGAGGGGATGGTTGACAAGGGTTTATGACCGTCCCTTTCATGTTTGGGAGTTAAAAAATATGGAGGAGATGATTTTGGAGGGCTTTTGCAACCTTCCAAAACCTTTCAAATGCTCAATTTTCAAGTTCCCCAAGTTGGGGAATTTTGAAGGACAACTTATTAAATGATAACTTCAGATCGATTTTAAATTGATATAAACTCAATTATTTTAATTTGTCATGTATGTGAAGTGATTTTAATTATAAGTCATCCAAAACCTTATCTTTTCAAACTTGTTACTCCCAAACAAGAAGAATTGTTTCCAACCCTTTCCCTCCCCTTTTCCCTCCCCTTCCCGACTAACCTTCAAAATCTTCCCCTCACCTTCCCTTCAAACTCCCCTTAAGCACGATAGACAAGGAAAAATAATCACGCAGCTTAATTTCAAAACAAACAAGGAAAAATGAGAATATTCGTTACAAATGAAAAACTCACCTAAAATCGCGATCATCATAGAGGGACTCAACTGAGATTGGGGCAGCTGTGTTTGCACTGAGTATTTCTTTTGTACGTTTAACCTGTTTCTTCAGTTTGGCCATTGCCTTGGAAGACTTCCTCACGTCTACCCCATTTCCAAGCTCTCTGTTGAACTCATCTGCAAAGTGCTCCACCAGCCTTAACTCAAACTGCTCACCCCCGAGCTCAGCATCCCATCTGACATCCTTTACCTGCAAAATAACTTGCGATCAAATTACGAAGCACCCGATCATAAAATTACAAAGAGGACAATCATAGTATCAGCAAAGCTATATTATTCGCTCATGGAAAGAAGCCTATATCTTGAATTAGTAAAGTAGAAGAGTTTGGATTTCTATCTGAAAATCTTGATATTTATTGCTAAAAGCTTTGAATATAATCGTTTTTACCTGAAACTGGTTAACTGACACGGTCCTTCCAAATTCTTTGGAATTGTAAGCCGAGAAATACACGAGAGCAGCATAAGTGCTACCTGCCCCCATGTCATAGAAGATCACGTGCCTTGATCCATTGGAAAAATCTTTATCAATCCCATATTGCAACGCAGCACCAGAATGCTCATTTACCAGCGCAAGGACATTGACCCCCGCGAGCTGGGCAGCAGTTAGAAGCCCATTTCTCTCAGCGACGCCCATGTATGGAGGCACTGTTATCACCGCATCCTTCATTGTTCCAACCCTCACATGCGTCTCCGCGAGCCCAACCGCATACTTCAACAACATAGCCACGAGCTCCTCCGCGGTGAAATTCCCGTTCTCGGTACGAAAAGCCGCGACATTCCTCGACTCCTCCGGGAAAACGTCGTAATGCAAGTGAAGGGAGTCCAGATATTTGATGACGTGGTGATAGGGTTTACCGATGAGTTCTCTAAGATGTGAAAAAACCTTGTCGGGATAGCGAGCGAGGAGACCCGACGCTTCTTCTCCGATTAGGCGTTCCCCGGAGAGGAATGAGACTAATGAAGGGGTTTTGCGCTTCGACATCTCGTTGATGGCGATCGAGATTGGGGGTTGCCCTGGTTTAAGATTAACCACGGCAACTTTCAACGATTCGGAGCCCAGATCTACACTCGAAACAGCGGCGTGGGAGCAGATTGAATTCAGCAGAATCAGGGATAAGAATATCCCGATGTGGAACGCCATTATTTCCACGGTAGCTGGAACTCCTTGCAGAAAACGAGACTGCTACAAGAGAAAATGCAGCGGGGGTGAAGGTCAGAGAAGAACCGAAGAACAGGAAAGGAAGTATTTGTAAATGTGGTCTACGTGGTAAGTCAATAGAGTTACTTCGAATAAAAGACAGGCACGTGGCGGAATGAACACGTGGAAGAACAATAAACGTTCGGTGTGTTGGTTTCGGGGTCATCGTAGATTTGTGGATACAGCCGAGAATTCGAACAACAGAATCCATCTTAGCACTGAGTAAGCCCGCCAACCGGTCGGTATACTACCTCCATATCACTTGCATTCACACATAGTACAAGAAGCCGCTGCCCCATTAATATTACAAAAATTAATTTTGTACACTTTCTTATACATATCAGTACACTCTCGTGTCTGTGAGGGTTTTATTTTGTCTGTAAATTCCAGTCCACAGACAAAAACAGACATGTTTTATCTGTGAAAAATTCTACAAACAAAACAAGTCTGTTTTTATCTGTAGACTGAGATTCACAGACAAAAAAAAAATCACAGACACAAGGGTGTACTGATGTGTATAAGAAGGTGTACACCAAGAATTATTGTTAATATTAGGGGTGGGAAAAACCGAACCGAAACCCGGAAACGGCTGCCCGGCCCGAATTATGATATTGGTCCGGGGTTTTTCTTTTTGACCGACCCGAATAAAAAAACTCGGACCGAACCTGAAATTCCGGGTTCATTAACGGGCCCTAAAATCTATAACCTGGCCTGGACCGATAAAACCCGAAACAATTAGCTTTAATATAAAATCAATATAATATATCAATATAATTTATAAATTAATTCCTAATATATGATTATAATCATGGTGGACGAAAAAATGACTTCATAACTATTAGTGACTGTAAATATGTTCAATTTATTTACCGTAATGACAATGAAAACATATTTATAGTAATTGTTGGGATATTTGGCCGAAGGCCCAGTACCCGGATCAAAGGCCCAATATATCCAGTCCAATAAACGGGCCCAGAATCCAGAAGATGAACAGGCTCAGGGAGAAATATGTACCGAACGGGGTTCGGGTCAACCAATGTACTTGGGCCAGATCAATGATAATTCCAGCAGGGTCCACTACCCGTTCGGGCAACGGGCAGCCAGTAAGTGGCAGGAAACATTTATTGCTAGAGTATGGCGGCAACAAGTGGGAATATGGGCTTTCAAGTGGCTGGAGTAGCAACCAATCAGCATGACGCACCCCACATCCCCCATTACTATAAATAGAAGGATTAATTTCATTGTAAAGGGTTAGATCTTTGAGATTCGAAGCCTAGAATAGCTTAATTACTCTTGTACTTGCATTAATCACTATTCCGACGTACCATTCGGGAAGTTCTTGTGTAATCAGCGAATTATCTAATACAAGTGAGCTTTTGAGTGTTATATTATCCATCTTTTATATTTTCTTATACACTGAATTCGTGACCATTTCCTGAAATATCCAAAGTTCATGTTGGGATTTCGGATCTGTGGGACTTACCTTCAACATTGGCGCCGTCTGCGAGACTTACCTTCAACTTACCCCCAATCGATCGGAAGCTTTGCCGAATTATCATCTTTATTTCTGGCCCAATTTGCCTCCAGTGCCACTCCAAAACGGCATTTCAGTTACCTAACCAGTGTCAAGCAGGGGCCAAAGGAGACCCTAAATCAGTTTCTGAAACGCTGGAGGGATGAAACTCTAAAAGTTGGGAACATGACGGATGATACAGCCATCACCCTATTCACTAACGCTCTCTGAACGGGTGAACTGTATAAAGACTTAAAAAAGAATTTGGGCACTGTATATTCCGAAGTGCTGGATAGGTCCCGAAAGCATGCGGCTCTGTAGGAGGAAATCATGATCAGGGATAAGGTAGCTACATCCTCTGCCCCTACAAGATTGGCCGATCGGCTGGGTCCTATCCCAGCGGCCGCACCCCCTCTGAAGCCAGGACGATTCACCCCTCTGGTCCTATCTGTTGCGACCATTTATCAGAACGAGAAGGACAACACTCCCCTTCCAACTGATTCCAAGAATTACCTGGGGGGCAGATGAAAATGCCTTTTGTAAATACCACAACAGGAAAGGTCACTCTACCCCATTCCTGTCAGGCATTACAGATAACAATTGAGGATTTGATCCAGCGGGGTCATCTGGACAAATATGTGAATAAAGACCCGAATGTTGTGGGCATTCTGAAGTCGGTCAGAAAACCCAACAGCTAGAGGCGGGATGCTCAGCGGGATGCTCAGCCTAGGAATGATGTGTATATTCCTCCCAAAGATGAAACAGAAGGTTCAGGGAACCTGGGCAAAAAGCCCTGCATGGAGGTGAAGGTTATATTTGGGGGTGGGGAGACAGGTGACTCGAACGCCGAACGGAAGAAATTCGAACGAAGCCTCTACGTGGGCTCTGTTAGTACCCAATTTTGATAGATTTTGATGATGCCACTATACTTCGCACTTGTACATTATGTCTTATTTAATTCGAGTATTAGTGTTCAAGTTTAAATTATGAAGTGACAAATAAATGTACAATTTTTGAGACTAATAAAATATTACCGGAAAAGTTAAAAAGCAATAAGGAAATTTTTATTTACCTTAAAAGGATATTTAGATCCTACCCGAAAATATTTTATTTGACTCAAAGATTATTTAAATGTCACAAGAACAGATAGGTTCGAAAATTCACATACATTGAATATGTATGATTGAAGACAAAAATAGACCGGCAGTTAATGCTAAATTTGTACATGGGTCTGGAGCATGGGACGCACACATGACACTGCCCTTGAAATGATCTCTCAACAACAAAAATCATTCAAGACAAATAAATCGTCCAGAATCAAGCTCCAGCACAAGAAGACGAAAAGCAAATCGGCCTTGCCAGATTTTCAACGCCCAAGATCAATCTATCCTAACCAACGGATAAGATTGATCAGCCATAAAAGCCTATAAATACAGGTTGAAACAAAAGTTTCTAACCAAGCTTGAGCATTCTAAGTAGAGAAATATTTCCATCGAGCATTCACGAGCTAACTAGCAAAAGAGAAAGTGTGAATCTATACTTTACTCTCTGCTTAGACTTATGCTTCACTAAACTTCTTAGACACAAGTATTAAGTGCTAAATCCTAGAAGTTTAGTTCCTAGTTGGAGGTTAGAACTTTCTTGTAAACGAATCAAAAATTGTTGTAAACACTTAGGAGAACAGTTGTTCGAATCCTAAAGTGTGGTTAGATAGATAGAGTACCTTTCGATCCCCACTGGATCAGTTGAGAAAAGTCTAAGGAATGAGTAACTTTGAGTGGTGTTATACTCATTGTGAAAAACCTTCAATCTAGACCTAAGTGTTGTAAAGGCTAGATTGGCACTAAGTGTATTGGGCTTAATACTTTAGTGGAAATCCATCTGAAAGAGGGTGGGACTGGACGTAGAAAGATTACACCACCTCTGAACCAGGATATATTATGTGTTGATTTATTTTCACCACATCTGAGACAATTTCACAATGCCTTCATAATTCATCTCATACTCGACCAGGTAAGGATCATACCTGACCGAGTGAATACTAAAATACAATCTTCTTACCAATTTCTTTTTACCAGAACGGTCTAATTGATCACCAGATTTCTTCCTTTAATTTATCAAACTTACTACTACTTGCAAACTTACAAATGAATACTAAAATACGATCTCAAAATGATAAAAGAAAAATATTATACACACATGAAATAAGCAATCAAACATCATAAAATAAACCTAAGAACATACACTCATGCACTAACAATTAGTGCATATCAATTACCTAATCCTGAAAGCTAATCAATATTTATAATAAGCATAACATAGACAATGTTTTTAAATTCAATTGGTAATTTGGCAAACCAGGTGTGTTGAGTATGAGTGTTTTGGTGATGACTAACATGCAGGGGGAACAGCGGATAGAACCCTCACAGTTCATTACGGAACAAAGGGAAGAACTATCGTTCAAAACAAATGAATATTATTAATGTGTTGATTGACTAACCATGCAGGAGGAACTAATGCAGCTCCACTTCTAATTCTGTAATATGATTTAAATTAATATGGATTGTATCTACTTGATTTTCAATTTATATGCTTTCCTTATATGAGAGAGTATACTTTCAAGCAAAAATATCCCCCTTGTCATGATATACGTAATTTGCTTGTATGAGTGCTTATTTGAGTGATCGTTCTCTTTCCATACTTGATATAGCTTATTATGATAGGTAAAATATTCTCTTGCTACGGATTTTGAAAAAGTAAAAGTTGTTTGAAATATATTCCATATCTTAATCCGTTGCTTGCTTATATTGAGAATAATATTCCTACCTTTTTGGGAATTGACCGAAGCCTGCCTTATTTGGTAATTAATTGATCACACAAAAGTTGGATGAGCTGTTTGTACCTATTCTTAGTCCGGGACTGATATGCTACCTTGATTAAGATATTTAATTCGGCTGCCTTATATATTAAGTCCCAAAATTAGAAGATCAACTATTCAAGGAAGGATGCTTAAACGGTCTGCCCAAGACAACCTATATAAACGAAGCAGCCAAAGAGAAATGCAGTGTGCTTGACCGAACAATAAAAGAGAGAAATACTTATAAGATAGTATCAAGACCAAGGCAACTGGACCTGCTTACAGAGTTCTAGATATAGTTTCTTTTCTCTTACTTGTTGTGTAATTGAAGTTTGAGGAAAAGCTTAAGTGTAGCTTCCTCTGGTTGGGGTCGTGTGTGTGAGAGCTTTGTTATAAAGCTGAGTGGCTCTCTACCCGCAAGGTAGAGATGCATAACTCTTCCTAGAGGGGATAGAGTTGGGGTGGCTCAAGGGTAGATTAGGAGAATTTACCTTGTACCCACAAAAGGCTTATTAGTGAAGTTGTTGAAAATTCCTCCGAGGGAGGTCGAGGTTTTTTAATCCCTTTGAGCCAAGGGATTTTTCCTCGTTAAATCCTTGTGCACTTTACTATTTCGTAATTCCCTGGACCCCACACTAGAACTGTGCGAAAAACTACCACGGTTA